GGCCTAGCAAAATGCCAATATTCCCTTTCCTGTAGGTATGGTTGATTGTACTTTAGATTATCAAAAGGTTGCATTCTTGAGGATGAGACCTTTAACACTTTTCAAAATCTCAAGGATGCTGTCATGGTTTGCCTCTTCCTGACTGGAAAGGCGGCAACTCATGGAAGCAGATAAACTGTCTTGACCTGATAGTCTCTTCTTGTTCAGATGACCCCTCACGAAGAAAGATAAGCGGTCCTGACCTTGTTTCTCAGGGATGTATGTTTACATATGGCTGTTAACACTCGAGGCGATAGAAATTAGTTTACATACAGAAAGGAAGAACCTTATTCGGCATCAGAGAAAGGGGTCCTGGGTAAAGGGAGGAGTATGGATCAAGGTAACTGGCTTTGATTGGATCAGAAAGTCATGACATCTTAACGTGGGTTTGAATGTCACAGAAGGTATATAAGGTACTGTGGGGAGGGGGCCCAGCGTGGCCGCCCACCTAACTGCCTGCTGTCATTGCTTCTGCACTTGGGTGAAGAATAAATCTCCTAACTTCATGAAATTCATCAGTGTCTTTACTCCCGGCTCAGAAACGGACTTAGTAAGATAACTTTTTCTTCCAACACACCTTTTAAACTTGTATAAAAAACTGAAAAAGATCACTTTAATAAATAGCTGAGAGCAACTGTGATGGTGCAAGATCTGAAACCCTTTTCCCTGGAAGACGTAATTCAGTATTTTTGTGGAAATGGGATGCACTGGGGGGCCAAGAATTTTTCAAAACAGCTCTAAGGTCTTACTAGTTCTTCTGGGAGTCATTGCAAAACCACCCTTTGCCACGACTGCTTTACCACAAGCAAGGCAAATAGTTCCCCTGAGCCCATCCCTTTCTTTTCCAGCCAGTTGCTCTCCAGAAAGTTGGGGGGGGGGGCAGACTCAAAGCAGGATTGTCATAGACCTGTCTCTATGACGACTTTACAAGATTGGGGGGAGGGGAAATGATGGAGGGCTTGGGAAGTGATGGAGAGAAAGTCTGAACAGGACAGCACTTGAAGGTCCTTTAGAACAGGGTTCCTCAATCTTGGCGACTTGAAGGTGTGTGGACTTCAACTCCCAGAATTCCCCAACCTACTTTAGAAAACTCTCCTCCAAACATGTCTTGATTTTTGCTCTAAATCGCCCTGTGACCAGGCCCCAGGTCCTCTCCAACACCTTCACCTCCCATATATCCTGCCCCACACTCCCCTTGACTGCAGCGGTGGGCCTTTCCCATGGCAAGATGGAGGCCATTCCATGGTCAGTTTTGTGTCATGTCTTGGCTTGATGTGGGTTCGAGCCACCTGTTTTTAATGTTCAATGGACATTTCAACTGTCCCACACTTCAGGAAGGAGGATTTTTAACGAACACCAAAATACAGGATCCTTGTTTCACTGGGGGGCGGAGATGAGTGCAGAGGCGTCAGCATTTAGAAGTATTAAAAACAGCCACAAGCCACCTCTGAGACCACAAGGGAAGTAGCCCTTTGGGGACTCCTAACCTAAAGCTGGGCCACCAAGGCCAGAGAAGTGGCTTGGATGAGACTCTGTGCACCGCTTGCGCGGCGCACTACCCAAAGCCCCCTCCTCCTCCTCCTCCGTCTGCTCGGAAGGCTCCTCCGTGCAAAACTCCTTTAATGAATGTTTTCTTGAAATTCTCCACCACGGGCCTTGGAATGAGTGGCAATGATGAGGTCCGTTTCTGAGTAGTGGTGTGCTGAAAATGCGACAGCTGGGAAATGCAGGGCCCAGGAAAAAGTCATTTCTGAAATTGCATGCAACACAGTAAAAACTGTACCACAGTAAAAACTGACACCTTACTAAGGACTTTATTAAAAACACACACACAGACTCTCGAGACAGAGGAGAGACATAAACTCAGAAAAGGGCTTCCCGAAGTCGCCATGAGAATGGCTAAGTGGCAAGCCAGAAAAATGCCACTCGTAGAAGCGCTGAGCCTCACAGGAGTATGTTTTTTAGGACTGTTAGTCCTAAAACATTTAGCACCAATTGCAAACTGTACGTCTTGCAATCCATGATTCAAAAGGGCTGGATGCCATGTTGGAAAAGAAAGGGCGCCCGCTACTTCCAAGCCAGACAGCGCAGGTGCCACGTTTTGCCCTCAAATAGAGTATGCCCGTTCCCTCCCTTTATTATTTTATTTATTTATATTTCAAATTTAAACACCGCTCATCTCATGAGGAAGTGACTCTGATAAAAAGTTTATGATAAAAAATTAGCTTCATATTCTCCATTTTAGGGCCTCAAAGCTCAGCACATCCTTGTGCAACGTAAAGGAGATAAAATGGCACCTACAGCCTGTGGGAAAAGGAACATCTTGCCTCTTTTATCTTCCCGTGTCTTTGGACAACGTCAGTACGTATGCACAGACCAGTCTGAATTCAAACGTTGCCCCCACGGTCCCCACAGGTGGAAAGTGGCGCTGCCCGGGTGAGAGCAGGGTGGTGGGTGGGTGCGAGTGCATTCCGGGAGAGGGCTGGAGGTGACCTTTGGACGTTCCGGTGGCGCTGAGAGCGAGAACCGAGGGGCCGGGGAACCCAGTTATCCCTCCTTGGGGGAAGAGGGCTTAGAGGGGGATGGAGTGGGGATTCCCTGCATTGGGATCTTGAGGGGGATCTGGGGTGGGTCAGGACATCCAGGTGGGGATGGGAAGAAATATGGGAGATGGGGCGGGGAATTCAATCCTGGTTCCTTGTCTCAGCTTTGCGTTCCAGCCCCGAGCTCATCCCCATTTCGTGGTCAGCCGGCTCTAAGAGCCCAGCCTTCAGTCGCTACTACTAAACACCAGGACAGCCTCTAGTAAGGCCGCCCTCATCTGTGATTTAATCAGAGAGGGCTGAGCTGATGTGTATTACCGAGACCTGGCTGGGTCTGGAAGGGGGAGTTCCCCTCTTGGGTGTGGCGCCAGCTGAGACCCCAGGGCAGGGGGTGGAGGCGTTACGATTGTCTTCCGGGAATCTCCAATGGCTTCCGCAAGTTACTGGATGGGAGACGCTGTTCATTAAGTTGGGCTCTAAGGATCAGTTAACCACAGCCTCCCGGCTGTGTAGTGACCTCCTTGAGTTGGCAGTGGAGTTCCCCAGGCTTGTGATCTGGGGATGGGGGTCCCCCAGGGGATAGAGTCTGAGGCTGCTCGTGACAGCCTCGGGCCTATCCCAGGTCACCCAGGGCCCAACCCGGGACACCGGCTGCACGCCTGATCTGATTTTCTTGTTGGAGCAATAGCAATGTGCTCTGGAATTGGGGGAGCTCTCTGTGACTCCCCCGTCATGGACAGGTCACACCCTGGTTAACCATGGAATTCTCTGGGGCCCCCAACTGCAAGGAGGCAGGACCTATTTGATCGGTCCACCCCTGGTTCCTGATGGATCCTGATGGGTTCAGAAGGAGCTGGGGTTATTCCTGATGGTCTGTTGGACAGTCCGACTGAGGGTCACTGTCACTGCTTGGAATAAGAGGGTGGGGAAGGCTTTAGGTTGGATTGAGCTCGTGTGACCTCTCTATCTCCGCAGATCCCATCGCTCCCCGTGGTTTACGGAGAGTTGAGGGAGATGAAATGGATTAAGAGTTGTCTAGACTGCACTGGAGGTTGACAAAGAGTGAACTTGACCGAATACAGGCAAGAGCCACTTTTAAGACCTTCTGGTGATAAGGATGGTGAAGCATCAGTACTGCGCCCTTATTGCGTCTGCAGCTGACTGGCGGCCTTGCTTAGGGTGACCTGAACCCTCTTGGAGAGAGGGGATTTGGAGGTTCACTTACAGGGCTGAGCAGAAGAGTATGCAGGGCATCTGTCAGATAAAATCACTTAGATTCGCTCCCAGTTTGACACCAGCCTTTTTACAGGTCTTGTGGAGTTGCCTGGGGCAGTCTTGCCCTGCTATCTGGGAAGCCTTCAAACCTGTTGGGCCTGAGGAAGTGGACAGGGTCCTTAGGACTGTGAGCTTGGCCACCTGCTTATTAGATCCACACCCTTCCTGGTTGGTTAAGGCCTCCTGGGAGGTGACATGCGGCTGGGTGCTAGCGGTGGTAAATTCTGTGAGAGGGGTTGTTCTGCCTCTTGAGGAAGACTTGGTTTGCCCTCTCAAGAAGCCATCGCTAGACCCATCTGGGCTGGACAATTTTCATCCAGTATCCAATCTTCCTTTTTTAGGGAAGGATGTTGAGAAGATGGTCGCGCAACAGCTTCAGAGTGAAGCAGATCATCTGGACCCCTTTCAGTCAGGTTTCAGATCTGGGCACAGGACGAAAACAGCATTGGTCATGGTTTTGGATGACCTCTAGCAGGAGCAGGATGGGGGTAACGCATCCAACCTTGCTCTACTTGATCTCTCAGCACCTTTTAATACCATTGATCCAGTATCCTTCTGGGTGGGCTGAGGGGGTTGGGGGTGGGTGGCATTGAATTGCGCTATTCTCTTTTTTCCTCTACAGTTGGTATTGGTCAGAAGTGGGAAGGGCCCGCCCTTGGCCTCTGTTATGTGGGGTGCCACAGTGTTTGGTTCTCTCCCCACTCCTGTTTAACATCTACAGGAAGCCACTGGGTGAAGTCATTCGTCACCATGGTGTGCTGACGATACATCTCCACCCCTGGCCAATTAAGTGATGCTGTGAAAGTCCTGTCTCGGTATTTGGAGGCTGTGGGGGTTTGGATAAGGAACAACAGATAAGATTGAATGGGTCTGGATTTTGGGAACTTTGGGATCTGGGAATTTACCATCTTTGGTGCTGGATGAGGTGGCACTGCCCCAAGAGAACGTGCGTGCAATCTGGGGGTCTCTCTGGACTCACGACTCCTGCTCAAGGAGCAGGTTGGCAGTCATGGCCAGGAGGACCTTTGCGCAACTTCGGGCTGTGCACCATTTCCTGGATCAGGAGGATCTACTCTCTGCCACTCACGCCCGGGTCACCTCCCATATGGATTACTGTAACACGCTGTATAGGGGGCTGCCCTTGAAGACCACCCAGAAGCTACAGCTGGTGCAAAAATCTGACAGCACGGGCAGTTATGCATGCTCCAAGACCAGCATGTGTTACACCTTTGCTCCATGAGCGGCAGTGGTTGCCAGTCTGCTTCTGAGTTCAATTCAAGGTACTGGTTATGACCTACATGGCCTGGGGCCAGGTTATTTGAGAGACCACCTCTCCCTGGTTACATCTACCTGTCCCATCAAATCCAGCAGAAGGGGCATGTCTATGAAACAGCTCCATTTGATGGGACCCTTTGTTTGCTGTGGCACCCACCCTCTGGAACATTATCACCCCACTGATCTTTCAGAAGGCCCTGAAGACATGGCTGTGCCATTGGACGTGGAGAGCCTGTAAGAGGGTTGCATTGTCCTTGAGTTGTAGGTTGGCACTTTCCCGTTCTTTTATGTTTTTGGTTAACTGTTTTAATTTATTTATATGAATTTGTCAGTTTTTTTTAATTTGTGAGCCACCCAGAGTCACGTAAGCGAGATGGGCGGCTATATAAATTGAAACTAACAACAACAACGTGTTCTTTGTGTGCTGCCTTAATAGAACCTTTTAATCAGCGAAGTTTCCCCAGAAAGGGTACATAGCCGCTGGTTGCTATCTGGCAAACACAGCGGCCCCTCTGGTTTAATGTGTGTGAGCCATGCAACCTGGCCACGGTGTGTGTCTCTGGATAGTGCAAGGGCTGGTGGTGAAAGTATCTGAAGTGCAAAAGAAATTTAAAAAAAATGTTTGGACCACAGATAAACTGGCTTCCCCCTCTGAAAGCCCCTCTGACGCTGGCATCATTACTGAAGCTTGTTGTTGACTGACTGATTGGATTTATAGCCTGCCTTTGACACAGGAGTAAGGGTAGGAGTTAGGGAAGAAATAAGAGGAGGGAGCTTCAAACCTTGACATCCTGTGTGAAAGCCTAGAGATAAATCTAGCAAGGAAGCAAAGACATCAGTGAAAGGCTTCAGTTCTGTCCCAAAGCAAATAGGAGCCAGCCAGGGCAGGACAGCCAGAGGGAGGAAAGCACCTTCACTGCTGCCTGCAGCCTTCCTTTTTGTTGCTGGATTTCGGGCAGCCCACCTTTTCTGGCTGTCGTTTGGTTGGGGAGACAAAGACAGGGGCTGCAACCCCCTGCGGGTAGTCGAAGGAACTGTCCATCTGGGCCAGGGGTCCTGGGCTGGAGGCTACACAGAGGGGGAGGAAAAGAGATCGTTATAACCACACGCTCACCTCTCCTTCCCTAAGCCCTAGCCCCTCTCCGTCAACCAAGAATTATTTTTCTAAAAAGTTATTTCCCAGGCAGCGGTGCGGGCAGTGACGGGCCTGCCTCGGTACGCCCACATAACCCCTCTGCTTCGCAAGCTGCACTGGTTGCCGGTTTGCTTCTGGGAGATTCAAGGTGCTATAAAGCCCTACATGGCACAGGACCTGGTCATTTGTCTCCCGTAACATCTGCCCAGCCACTTCAATCCTGCAGGGTTGGCGCACTCCGGGCTCCTTTGATTAAACAATGCCATCTACCGGGGCCCCGGAGGCCTGCCTCCTCTGTGGCAGCACCTGCCCTCTGGAACGAGGGTCCCCCTGAGATCCGGATGGCTCCCACTCTATGTTGTTCAGAAGAGCCGTGAAGACCTGGCTCTTCACCCAGGCCTTTGGCGAGGATGACTGAACTATGTGGGTTTATTTCTTTGTTTCCCTTCCATTTGGGGTCACTCTTCCCACCTCCGCTCTTCATTTTTCCCTACTGTTTTATTTTTCTCTTTTTAAAACATATTTTATAATAATAATAAAGAGGAGGAGGATGTCCATGTGGTCATGCGATGGGTCAGGGATTCACAAATTGACACAATCCCAACATCTCCAATGGATACCCACTGGAGTGGGAGGGGGAAGAGGTGTTTTCCTTTGTTTTTCCTCAGATCTGGGGAAAGTAGTTCAAAAGGGAGCAAGGATGAAGCATCTCCACTTGTAAAGCAAGTTCTTGAAGAACAGACTGGAAATAATTGCCCTGCAAACACAGATGATCTTGGGAATGAGAGAGCCTTATTTTCTGTATCACAGAAAATCTGGGGTGCCAAGAACTGGTTTATATTCCAGTAACTGGTCCTTTTGACTGGTCATTTGTGAACACACACAAGGATTCTCCACTCGCACAGCACATCAGGCCAAGGGGTGTATCATATGATTTACTCCACGTAGGATTTAATGAACTCCAAAGGGGGCAATGGTTTAAAATTCCAAACAGTAACAAATTTAACCTGTTACTTCTTTTGGAAGTTGAAACTGGGCATTTCCTGAAGCAGGATCTGGAAATGGTGGATGTGTGATGGCCCTTATTGGTGTGTCCTGGAATTGTCTACTTCAACAAGATCAGGTGTCTTCCTGGAGGGAACAGCCAGCCCTACCCAACTGGTAAGGGACAGGACAACTAAGAATAAAACCGAATTAAATGGTGGAACTCAGAAAGAAAATTGGGACAAATGCTTTACTGTTGGGGAAGAGACTAGGCTCAACAGCAGCAGACAGTGAGATAGACCTGGGATCCTGAGCCCTTAAGGCCATGGGTCTAGTTTATGAAGATCAAGGCAGAGGAGGTACAAGTGATCATCTGAACACAGGTGCTTGTTTCCATAATCTTTAACTAAAAGAGGTCCAAAGAGCCATAAACTCCAGGAAATCTGAGCAGAAACACTCAGAAACACACTAAGAGGGACAGATCAACCTATGGCAATCAGAAGGGGGGTGCTGTTCCATAGGATGTTATGAGATGGGTGGAACTCCCACCAAAAATTTAACTCTGGAATTTACATTTTTAACCTGAATTGCCCTACAAGTGCAAAACTCTGATATGTGAATCAGAGACCCTGGTGAAGTAGCAGCCCTGCAAAACTCTGCATGGGAGAAAATCAGAGTTTCAGGGCCAATGTATCAAAACTATAATCTTCATTGTGAATCAGTCAGGATTCCAGATTCCAAACAATTCTTAGATATAATTGCACATATATTTTGGAATCCATCTGAGTTCAATGGGACTTCCTCCTATACAAGTATGAAAAGAATTGTTCTTGTTCTGTTACCTTGGGAACCAAGATCCATCACATCAGAGGGTGTTCCCATTTTAGCAGCTTGAAAAGTTGGATCCAGAACTTCAGCAATATTTCGGCAAAACGGTGGCCTGAGTAAGAGACAAGACTATTAGACACTTTTCAAAAGATCTTCTCTAGTTGTTGCTCACTGACATTGGGTTCCAAGGGCTGGAGGCAATAAATATGTTTTGGCATTCAACGTTTGTTCCATGACTGTGGAATTAAAGCAGCCCATCAATTAATTTATAGAATGACTGGAATGAGCACTGACTTTTTCTCTGTGGAGCTCCCTCTCACGGTCACATTTGTGTTCTCCTGGGTCTGGATTCTGAGCAGGGGTGGAGTTCTGCTACTCTGCCATGACTCCTTCTGGAAATGAAACAAGAGGAAGGCAAACAAGGACTTGAAAGATCTAGATCAGACCTGTAGGCTCCTTGTGGGTCTCTTTAGTTTCACTATAGGAATCTCTCTTCTAGAAGTTTGGGATGAAGGCACCATCAGGGGCTGCATTTAATGTCGCCACCAGCAAGCTACCTTCACACAACCAGCCTCAAATTATTTGAAAACAACTGCCAGCAGTATCAGGAGGAAGGTCTGCCCTGACTTGGATGGCTCTGAGGGGACCTTGCGAGATAGAGCCAACGCCTTCTCCATGAGAGAGAGGATGGTCTGATTTGGAAGCAGGGAAACTGTCATTCAAATGTCTCGCTCAGTAGGCGAGCCCTTCCCAGTAGGCTCCATTATAGGATTATTACAGGGAGGAGATGTGATGATCTGCCCCACTATACTGGTGGGCGTGCTGTTAGCAATTAGTGTTGCTTTACTGAGGGGAGATGCAAGTTATGATAATTTGCATGATTTCATGTACACTGCTGACCTGTTTACCATTGGTGTGTAATAAGGCCTCCCTCATCCAGGACTTGATAGTGGATGAGAGGGCTAACCTGGCGTGTATTCCCAAAACCTGGGTGAGCACAGAGGGAAGCCTCCCCTTTCAAAAGTGTGCCAACAGGGTTTTGAGTCTGGCCCCAGCTGCCAGTCCTGAGCAGGGGCCATTGGAGTGGCCCCATTGGCTTTTGAAGCACTGCCCTACAGATAACCAGGTGTGAGACCCTGTTGATGGGGCTGGGCTCTAGGGATTAGCTGGCATCGCTGCTGCTGCACCAGCCTCCCTGTGGGCTTTCCTGCCTGGGCCGCATCTGGTAGAGTTCCCCAAACTTCTGGTCTGGGGTGGGAGGTGGCTTGGGGGTTCATAGCCACCGTGGCAACCACGAAGGGAGGGCTGGGACACTGCTGGACTGAATCCTGCCACGCATCCTGCCTTTGGCTGGGCAGCTGGCGAGAGGTACCAGGAATCCTGGGATGAGCTGCTTCCCCAAAGAAAGACTTTCAGGGTGTCTCTCCATCTTGGGGAAAAGGTGTTGAATTATTTTTGGCATCTGGTGGCACTGATTTGAATAAAGACTGCTTTCGCATCTGGAATACATCCTGGCTGCCCAGATCAACCAAGCAGCAGCAAGATTTTTCTGTTCGGTTATGTAAACGGACGCCTTGCTTCCTGCGTATTCTTACAACTGCCTGCCCACCCCCATCACAGAGTTTCAAGCATTCAGCTTAGAATATTTGTCTCATGCTCGCCTGCCCTGCAAAGGGCATTTTGGAGGTTGTAATAAACAAAGATCCTGGCTGGATTTGCATCATACCTTTTAACTGGGTTAGCTACAGACCTGTCAGATGCATTTGCACCACACGCTAAGCTGGGTGAATTTAACCCTGGCTAGCTCTGGGGGCTAAGCTGTTTGGTCCGTCAGTCAGTCTGGGGCTGACTGAGAATTAGTGCCAGGGAGCCCGGAGATCCCACCGCTTACCTCTGGGCTGGAGCTGTATTGCCCCTCCGGGAGCCCAGGGGGCTGGGCCTGCTGCCTGTCCTGGCGTGGGGACCCCCACTGGGTGTGCAGCTCCTTGTCTTGCAGGTACCGTGCAATCTCCTGCGGGAGGGCGAAAAGGGAGGAAGGAGTTACCCGTCATTTCCCGGGAAAGGCTGCCATGGGCCAGGAGGGAAAATGGGCATTGGCAGGGCGGGGCAGGGCAGCAGCCGAGGGCCCCCTCGCCTAGGAGGCTGTCAGAAGCCCCACCTTTAAGAAGGTTCAGAGAAACTGGAAGAGGCTCCCAGAGAACCTGAAGGAGTTGGGGACCCTCAGTCTTGAGAAAAGTGGGCGGGGGGGCCTCTTCGAAGGGTGGGGAGGCTGTCTTGTCCCGGAGTGGGGGAAGGCATGGAAGCATAATGGGTTTTGGTGACGGGGAGGCAATTCTGACTGGAGGTTAGGAAAAAAGCCTAATACCAAGAGCAGCTGGACCGTGAAACGAGAACTCGAGAGAGGGATGGGCGAGTTCGGGCAGAGGCGTAAATCAAATCAGGTCAACTTAATCCCCGGAACCTGGACTTCGAAGGGCCACCGAGCTCCCCCAGAGCAGAGACTCACAGACAGCATCCCAGATGGCTCCCTTTGCAGAATAGGACTATGTGGCCACACTGAAAGTCTTTTTTCTTAACATCCCAAAACCTTGGGATGGGCAGGACCAGGGGTCTCCGCAGAGACAGTCACTGCCTTCAAAGCAGCAGGCGCAACTGGGCAATCGGGGCCCCGCTCCCTTTTAACCTGGGTTGTGCGCTCTGCATCCGTGCAAGAAGAGACAGGGCTTCACTTGCCTGCTTGCAGCTATGGTTTAGAAGTCAGTGACTGCTTATTTATTTGACTGGTGTCCTTCATTTGTTACAACTCAAGGCAGCGTGCATAATGCTTCGGCCGCCTATTTTCCCCACAACCACCACAACAACCCTGGGAGGTGGGCTGGGCCGAGAGGGAGGGACCGGCCCAAGGCCACCCAGCTGGCTTCCATGCCTAAGGGAGGACTAGAACTCACAGTCACCCAGGACCTTTGCCCAGCTGGCTGTTGCTGGGTCCCCTCTGCCAGGAGCACTTAAGATGAGTGGAGCCTTGCTGGCCCGCTGCTTCTCGTCTCAGCCCTGAAGCCACAGGTGGGGTTGTAGAGCTGCCCACAGACAGGACTCTGTGCCCGGGGGCACTGGACGTTCACGAGCGTATAAAGTCAACACTAGGCATCCTAAAACTTTAGAAGCAGTTCAGAAGGCCATGTTAAATCTCCAAGTCTGAACTCCAGCCTTTCCTGAACCCGCGAGAGGACTGAGGGGCGCTCACGATTCTCCTGGAGCAGAAAGCCTGTTCCTGCAGGCTTGCAAGGGATCTCTGGGAGATGCTGCCAAGCAGCCGTGTCTGCCCCCCACTTGCCTCAGATGCCAGAGAATGCTGCAAAGGGGGCAAAGCGAGTCCCTGGCTCTGGGGTGCCCAGCAGGGGTCTCCCCCCAGCGGTTTGCTGCCTGCTGCTCACCTCATCCTGGGCCACCTGGGCGGCTCGGTAGTCATTGTCCTGCTCCCGGTTCCTCCTGGCTCTCTGCACAAGAGGGCAGAAATAAAGGGTTGGACCAACGCCCAGCGAAACGCCCCCCTCCCCAGCACGTGAGCCTTGGTGTGGCACAAATGAACACGGGGCTACCACAATATTTGCCTACAAAGAAGATGACCCTGACTTTAAGATGATTCCACCCAAAAAGAAGAGTGGACCAAAAAAAAAAAAAAGATACGGAGATAAGATTCCTGCACTGCACTCTGTGGGAAACCCTCCTCCTTGGGCCCCTGACACACAGCTCTTTCCTTCTTCCACAGGCTGAATCTCTAATGGGCAAGAACGCTTCCCCTGCTTGCCCTGGCACCGCTTTCTGAGGGGGCGGGGGGCACGCACAATGCGAGTCTGCTCCTGCTCTTCTTCCTCTTGCAGCTTCCGGGCCAGTTCCTCATCTTCCTGGAACTGCTGCTGGGTCTGGAGCTCCAGTCTAGCCATCTCCCAGTGCAGAGGTTCCGTGGCACCATCTGAACACAGACCCAAAAGTGTCCACAACGATGAGCAAAGAGAATTCAGCTTCAAGTATGTAGTTAAATAAACCACGTGATTTGCAAGGCATCTCTCCCCCCTCTTTGTCTAGGTTGGTAACAGAAAACCAGTTGGCCCCATGGCTTGGTGTGCGGACCAGCGTGTGTGGACCACGTCACCATTACTGGATCCACACATTCTGAATGACTGCATGTGCGCAGATGTTCTCTTCTGAACTCTTCTAACCTCAGGAATTGGTATGAAAACAATTCGGGTGGCCAGACCAAGCTTCCCCAGCCTCTCTGTTGTTTAAGGGGCAGGAGTGGGGGATTCCAAAGTAAGGCCACACATGTGGTGGAGGACAAGTCTTTGCCTCTGGAGCAAATTTTGAGAACCAGGGGGAATCATGGAGAGCAGCCTCCTCTTGTCTGCTGTCCTTCTAAGGAAATGACCCAGGGTCGTCCATCTACCCTTCCAGGCCATGGAAGAGGACCAGAAAGGGAAAAAAGACTTCAAGTCAAAGACTGGCTACATAAATAGCACCAACACCAGATATTTGGTTCCGGGATCCTGGCCTGAGCTATCTAGATGATGGACAGTTGGCATGAGATGGGTTCTGCTGCCCAAGGACTGGTAAATATGAGTTTCACCAATGCATAGCATGCCAGGCTAGGAGGGTCTTAACCTGAATCTGGGGGTGGGGAGGAGGAAGCTAAAAGTCCAAAGTCTGGACTTCAGATAAAGGAAAGTGGGAGAGTTGCTGAAACGGGGCCTGTTAACCATTCAGAGAAAAAAGAGAAAAAATCATTGGCTGATAAAGTTCACAGCCACCTTTGTTTCTGCAGAGCGTGGGAAATGAACAGGATGAGTTTGAGATCTTTGTGCAGAAGATCATATTTGATGGGTGGCTCGCATGCCTGGGGTAGAGCAAAAGTAGGCGGCCATTTCTTCCAAAGGAAAAGAAGCAACAGAAAGGAAAGAGGAGTCATCCTTGTATGATAAAAACATCCCGTTCCACCTCAGAAATACAAATGAATGAACTTGGCAACGCTGAGGGAGCATCTGGGTTAAAATTAATGGAGGAACCAATAAAGGCAATGCAGCTGTTGGGGTCAACTCTCAACCAGGAAGATGTGGATGCTGCCTTCCAAAAGCAGATGACAATCTTTCCAAGAAGCATGAAGTTGTGATGGGAAACATTAATTACCCAAGTTCTCTTGGGAAACAAACTCGGCCAAGTGTGGTCCTTCCAGGGAATCCCTGACTTGCCTCACTGACAGCTTCTCCTTCAGAGAGTGGAGGGTCTAAGAGGACCAGCTCTCCTTGACCTGATACGAACCAACAGGGAAGACGTAGTTCAGGGAGTGGAGACATCAGGAACATTGTGAAAAAGGAACAGTGTAATGCTGGAGGTCCGGATTTGAGGGACATTAAAACATAGTCAAATGTGTCTCTTGAACTTCAGAAAAGCAGATTTTCTGAGTTTTTCTATAAACAAAGCAATGATCAGGAGGATCCATGGCTGGAGAACACAAGATGGATCATACTTCCTAAAAAAGGAGATACTAAAAGCACAGTTGTAAACAGCTCTAATGAAGAACAAAATGTAGAACAAATGTGGTTGCATACAAAGAGGATCCATAAAGGAAATAGAAAGAGGGTAAGGTAACAAAAAGTAGACACAGGTAGAGCTTATTGTCAAAAAGTGAAAGCTCAAAACAACCTTTCTGAGATAAATGAAGGATGCTAAGAATAATAACAAGACTTCTTTAGCCAAGTTGAAAAAAAAAAAATCAATATACCAGTTCAAGAGGTTCTGGAGAAGATGATGGTCACAACTGTATGATCGAAGTCTCAGTTCTTTTTTGTGTGCAATGATTTTTTTTTTAAAAAAGAAGGAAAAAAAGATCTAATGTCCAGTCTGGCCTTGACAGGGTTAGGGTCAATATTTGACCAATATGACTGGGAGGTCAATATTTTTGTTAAAGACTTAAATGAAAACATGGAAGGGATGCGTAATCAAACTTGCAGATGACATAAAATTGGGTAGAATGGCTAGTATCATAACCACAGAAAGAACATTCAAAATTACTGTAGTAGAGAGATAACTTGACGAAAGTAACTTGATTTAGGAAACAAAAATTGAAGTTAATCTTTTTCACTTAGGAAAGAAACATCAAACGGTTTTTCAACTGTACCTATGCGAATAGTAGTAGATTGCAAAGTGAATCACAAATTCAGCAGGCTTGGAATGGAAAATGCAGTTTTAGGCTGCAACAACAGAAGTTTAGACTCAAAATCACAGGAATGAATTACGTTACTTTTCTGCTTGAGTCCCGTGTCCAGTTCCGGGTGGCAGAGTTAGTGAAAGATTCAGAGAAACTGGAATGGCTCCTAGGCCATAACTAAGGGTGGCTACGGCAGCAGAAATGAGGACATATCAAGAGACGCTGGAGGAGCTGGGAATGCTTCGCTCTGAAAAACAGTGACTGATCGCTCTCTTCATATACCTCAAAGGATGTCACATTCTCATTACAGAGTGCAGGCCACAGAATAAAGTTGCAGAAAAGCAGATCCCAACTGAATGTTAGGGGAAAAAAATCTCTGTAAGAGTAGGAGCAGTTTAATGGGGGAGTCAATGATTCTACAACAACAGTTTGCTTTTCCAGCCCCCATAATCTACCAAGGGCCAGGACACAGGAGAGAATAACTCTTGGGACACAAAAACTGACATGGGTCAAGATTAAGAGAAACCATTATTTTTCCATGGAGATGCTAAGAATGAACACTCATCAAGGAGCCCAAAGCTTCCTCGACTCCAATTTCTACTCCCCTGACTTTGGGGGCCCTGATAAGACCAGCAATTGATCTGATGCCCAAGAGGATCACATTTACAGTGGGGCAAAGAAGTATTTAGTCAGCCACCAATTGTGCAAGTTCTCCCACTTAAAACTTCGTAAGAAGCATTTCAAGGTCCTGGAGTGGCCTTGCCAGTCTCCAGATCTCAACTTCGTAAGAAGCATTTCAAGGTCCTGGAGTGGCCTTGCCAGTCTCCAGATCTCAACTTCGTAAGAAGCATTTCAAGGTCCTGGAGTGGCCTTGCCAGTCTCCAGATCTCAACTTCGTAAGAAGCATTTCAAGGTCCTGGAGTGGCCTTGCCAGTCTCCAGATCTCAACTTCGTAAGAAGCATTTCAAGGTCCTGGAGTGGCCTTGCCAGTCTCCAGATCTCAACTTCGTAAGAAGCATTTCAAGGTCCTGGAGTGGCCTTGCCAGTCTCCAGATCTCAACTTCGTAAGAAGCATTTCAAGGTCCTGGAGTGGCCTTGCCAGTCTCCAGATCTCAACTTCGTAAGAAGCATTTCAAGGTCCTGGAGTGGCCTTGCCAGTCTCCAGATCTCAACTTCGTAAGAAGCATTTCAAGGTCCTGGAGTGGCCTTGCCAGTCTCCAGATCTCAACTTCGTAAGAAGCATTTCAAGGTCCTGGAGTGGCCTTGCCAGTCTCCAGATCTCAACTTCGTAAGAAGCATTTCAAGGTCCTGGAGTGGCCTTGCCAGTCTCCAGATCTCAACTTCGTAAGAAGCATTTCAAGGTCCTGGAGTGGCCTTGCCAGTCTCCAGATCTCAACTTCGTAAGAAGCATTTCAAGGTCCTGGAGTGGCCTTGCCAGTCTCCAGATCTCAACTTCGTAAGAAGCATTTCAAGGTCCTGGAGTGGCCTTGCCAGTCTCCAGATCTCAAATGCCCTTGCTGATGGAAGGAGGTGTTCACTTTTTTAAGTGGGAGAACTTGCACAATTGGTGGCTGACTAAATACTTTTTTGCCCCACTGTAGTTGATGCCTCCAAGACGCCATTATAGCCCTGGGATTCGGTCTCACTTTGTCAGGGTGAGCCAATGTACATGTTCTCCACAGGGCTGGGGGAAGATTCTCTGCAGGCAAAACTAGGTGCTTCTATTTCATGCCAAGCTGAAGATTGTGAAGTGCCTTCCATCTACGATGGCCAATGGACCTTGCTCTGCTGCTCATCTGGGGGCTGTCTCCCTCTTGGATTATTCTGCCTCTGTGTGCAATTGTGCGTGAACTGAAAGCAGAAAGGGTCCAAGAGACTGCATGCAAAAGAATGCTTAGAACAGGTAGAGTTTAGAACAGGGTCTGCTCTTGTTCCAGCACCCTAAATCAAGAATCTTCATCCTGGGAATTCTGAACTTTTACAGAAGGTCATAAAAAATGTTTCAAATCAGGAATCTCTGATCCTTTGGATCACTGGGCACAACTGGATTTTTTGTCATGGTGGCTCTCACAAAATGGTTTTCAGGGGTGGATTGTCGATTTATGAAATAGCTACCAGGTTGTGGCAGTCAAGCTGATGGTTCTTTGGTTGTCTTCCAAACCAAGACCTGATTTCAGGAGCCTGGAGGATGTCAAGGGAGATATTTTGTACCAGGGGAACCATCATGGGGACCTCAGCTCTAGACAGGGATCCTATTGTACCAGTCCAAAGCCATTTCACAACCAATCATTTTCTCTCTTCAGAGATTTGTTCAGTAATGATGACAATGAAATGAGTGATGGGAGAAGTGTTGGTCAAATCTCTGCAGGAAAACTAGCAAGTGGGAGCTAAATGGGTTCTCATGGAGAGGTAGAATCTCACAGAATGCTGAGGACAAGCTGGAGAAGAACGTCCCTATGTAACTTTGATGCCCTCACCTTCCAGGGTAGGGGGAAGTCAATGGGCTGGGAATGGCTGCTGCTGCAACATGATGCTGCTGCAAACAGGATGATCTCAGAAGGGCTTCTTACCAGGTCAGACAAGGAATAGGTTAAGATTGTGCTGATCTCAGCTTTATGAAGCCCTCAAAGCAAAGACCAAGAACGTGTCCCAAACTCTCCACCAGACTTCCAGATGTGTTACGTCCCACACATGAAGATGGTGGGAGTGCTGTCCAACACAACTGAAGGACGCCCCCTTCCCCCAGGGGACACTGTCCTGCACTTAAAGTATGACTGGCTTTTAAAGTAGAGTGTCCTCTCTGGACCTAGGCTGTCCTTACCTCTTGTCCCATGTGAAGGCCTGGGCCTCTGCCTTTGCTGACGACTCTCATCCTTTTCCAAGTTCTGAAACCGCTTGACTCTCTCCTGGGCAGGAGAGAAAAATCTCCTGAAAAAGTATCCTCGTTACTAGAGCAGCCTTGCTTGCTTGGATCTCTCTTCCTTCTGCTAGTCCTCCCATGTGAAAACCCAAGGAACAGGCCACCTCTGAGCTTCTGCCCATCTTTTTGCTTGCATTCTCCTTAGCCTTGCTCAACAGCCTTTATAAAACAATGAACGGACCAGTTAGATGTGATTTAAGAAAGGGCTACACAAGTTGTCTTGACTCATGAGCTAGAGATCACTCTCAAAGAAGTGAGTGGGCGAAAACCAAATTTGATACTGAATTAAAATACAAAATCAGTTAAACTTAATATAATGCTTCCAGTATCATTCATAATTTCTCAGTGCTTTCACGTTAAAATTGGAGGGGCGTTGGAGGCTGAGGATGTCTGCGCAAAGAAGATTGCCAAGGAAGCTCAGTGGCATGCTATATAGTTCCAAATTGTTGATTGTATTTGATTGACTTTTAAATTTAAATGCTTTAAATCATGGGGCGAAAGGTGGTAAACAATTTTTGCAAAGTAATAAAAACAAATTTTAGTCATGCTAAAAGCTATACATTGATACTTAATATGTTAATGAATATATAAAATTAATATTGTGCCCAAGCTGCGGTTGACCAAAGCTTTTAAGACTTCGTGGTGTGTGATACAAGACAGACTGAATAATACGCAGTTTCCCTAAAACTGAACTTAATGTGCCAAAGCAGCTACATGATTTTGTTAAAACATAACCTTTTTGTGATCAAGTGAACCCTTCAAAGATTAAAAAGTACAAGTTAGAAAGTAAAAAAGCTCTCCTTTCATAAACCCCATTTCTTTCAGATACCTAATTCTAACCAGAAAGCAGAAACAACGGAAGAATCTCCAAGTCGTTTAGGAACCAACGTTCAGCCACAATGTGTTTGATTAGAGGAAGACACGCTGCCACCAATTTTTATCTGAGAACGAGCCACATTGCCACCAATTTTCAGTCGCAAATGAAGAAAAGGAATCTGAACAAAAGCACTGGAAGGGTGTAAACAAGTAAAATGTCTGTGATTCGAAGGGGCAGAGCACGCAAGCAAAGGGAGATGGATGTATGGGTTGGCTTTACCACTTGGGGGCAGCAGGACCAAAAGGAGGTCTTCTCTGACTGCCTTGGTGAGAGCATCACGGCAACTAAGGCCAAATATGCCAAAATAAAGAAAAAGGGATAAAAGAAATTTAAAAAATGGATAAACATAGAATTAAACCTTGGCAACACAGAATAACAATGACAGAGACCCTTTCCATTAAACTGACAGAGAGCCAGTTCATAAACAGAGGGTGAACACGTATGGCAAATCTGGGTGACCCTATTTTTCCACTGTAAAAAAGGAACTTTTTTGTTGTTTTGTTACATCATGCTCAATAAAATTATTTATTATTTATTTGTTTAATTTCTATAGCTGCCCATCTCAACAAGTGATTCTGGGCAGCATACAGCACAATCAGATCCACACAAATCCATTGTCTCTCATGTAATGATAAATTCCAGATTTTTAGTAAATAATTCACAATAGCATTCACCTCTTTAAACCCTATTACTCTTCCCAAAGCCACACTAAGCAATTTATTAAACCCAAATGGGCCAATGGGGGGCAGGCACATATTGTACGCATCCCCTCTAGCATTTCATACTTCCAGCATAATGAATTTGGCAGCCAATTCTTTTAAAGCATTTTCTCATGTCCAATAAAGGTGAATAAATGTTGAATTCATCTCAAGATCTTAAGCAATATACTTAATATTCCCTAAAGCCCTTAACTGATTTGTTCATATGACTTATTCCAAAGTTCTTGCAAATAATGAACACTCACCTTAATAATAATCCTGAATTGTCTTTCAAAAAATACTGCAGATTTGGACTTATCCAGAACACATTTCAGTGCTGATAGTGATTAGATGCTAATAATGTGTCGGGACCAGATTATGAAATCAAAAGATGTTGTAATGGAATATATTCCCATTCACACAATCCAAATTCCTCAAATAAATTCACAGAACCATCATTTAATTCTAGGGTTGGAAATGACTTTGAAGGTCTTCTAGTCCAACCTGCTAGCCAAGGCGGGAATCCTCAGACCACCCAAGACAAATGGCTGCCCAACCTTCGCTAGGGTTTCTGCAGAGATGGAGCTCCCTTAATTCCAGGAGGGAGGCTGTTCCCCTGCTTCAGAGCTCTCATGGCCAGGAAATTCCTCCTGATGTTGAGTGTGGACCTATCTCCCTTGGCAAAGCTTCCACTCATTGATTCTTCTTCTGCCCTCGGGTGCTATGGAGAATATGTCCACACCCTCTTTCCTCTGACAGACCTTCAAGTATTGGAAGGCTATCATGCCTCCCCTTAGCCCTTTCTTTAGGCTAAACATACCTAGCTCATTTTACTGTCCTCCAAGTTCCTCACCGTATTTTCTTTTCTGCACTCTTTCCGGTTCCTCAGTGCCCTTCTTGGATTGTGGCAACCAGAACTGGAACACAAGATTCCAGGTGTGGTCTGACCTGTGATCTTAACTCTATTCCTCTCCTGATAGAGTCCAAGATTGCACTGCCTCTTTTGGCAGATGCAGCACACTGATGGCTCACGCTTAACCTGTGGCCTACCAGGACACCCAGATTCTTCTCACAAGTACTAATTCCAAGCCTATTTTGCACCCGCGCATCTGGTTTTCCCTCCCTATGTGAAGAGCTTTGTATTTCCCACCACTGAACTGCAAATTGTTGGATAGGACCTGACATTCAAGTCTGTCAAGATCCTTTTGAATCCTGAGGCTATCTCCTGAGGTGTTAGTAATCCCCCCTCCTAGTTTTGTGTTGCCTGCAAATCTGATGAGCATCTCTTCTATCTCCTCATCTAAATAATTTATGAAAATGTTGAAGAGCACTGGGTCCAAGACAGAACCTCAGAACCTCCCTCCATGCAGATATAAATCTATTAAAAGCCACACATTGGTCCAGTTGTTCAACCAACTTCAGCTTCCTCTGGACGTTGTTCAATTTTATCAGGAAGGAGGCTCTGGTCAATTTTATCAAATGCCTTGCACACAACATCCAAAGCATTCTGTTGGTCTACTAATCTAACCACTTTGTTTAAAAAACAAAGTGTTAAGATTTGTCTGGCAAGGCCTGTTTTTAACAAATGCTGTTGGCTTCTAGTATCCACCTTGTTTCTTTTTAAGCCCTTGTAAATCCACTGCTCGATAATCTTTTCTTGGATTTTCCCTGATGTTGATGGATCCTGGGTCTACCTTTCCCCCTTTTTAAAGACTGGAGACATTAGCTCTTCTCCCATCTTCTTGCACTTCCCCTGCACTCCAGGACAGGTGTGGTCCTCCTTTCTATATCATGTGACCCCACCCTCCCGTTTTGTTGGGTCTGTTTCTTTAGAACAAACTGCATTTTACCAGTACTATATTCAGTTCCATCCCACTATGTTTCAGTCATACAGACAATGTCCTCTTTGCCTTGACGCACATAAAAAAACAGGTAGGGCTTCACCTGCACCACTGTGGCTGCCTTCTTACTTTTTCCCATACTCCCGAGGACACCTCTGAACCATGGCTAGAGGGGCAGGAAAAGCAGCTGGTTGAAAAGTTGGGCACACAATCCCATTTACCTTTACAGCTCTGGGTAGGATTTTCCGTATAGGAGGAATGACAGCTTGGGGGCCACACACCTTTTCCCATTGCAAATCCTCCGATTTTTCTCTCAGAGATGCAGGGAGGGGATTGCTAGTAATTTATCAGAGCTATGAAGCAAAGTGAGTGTTTCTCCTGCCTAGGAGGAGGTTGCTAAAAATAAGGTGCCCCTGATTCAATCAACTTGGAACAATGCCTTCTGTATGGTTTCTTCACTCCCCCCCCCCCAAATTGTTCCCAGGTCCAGCTGGGCCTCCACTCAAGCAGGACTCAGAATCTGCTTCGGACCCTGGCAGAACATCCAACGATAAAGCAGAGCCTCTGCTTGTGAGGAGATGCTCAGCCTCCGAGGGGCCCCTGGGAGTGGAGGATGAATGCCACCAATTGTTCCTGGCGTATTCTCTGTCAAATGCTCGGGGTTTGTGAGCCAGAACTGCTCCCAAGGGGGCAACTGTACGCATTAGTAAACCGTGCCCACCACCCTTGTTACGACTGACCAAGTCTTGGGGGGGGGGGAGCAAGATTTACATGAAGTCATGTTATTCTTGCATTTCAGCCTTAATGTTCCAGAACCTGATTCAATATGCCTGATCGGCAAACTAGTATTTGGATCAGCCCAAAAGGAGCAGCGGGGAGAACGTCAGCGGCCGACTCCCACCCTCCTCTTATACATGTGGTTTGTGATGAGCAATGGGATTTCTAGATACCCTGGGTGATTTTGCGCTCGAGAAAGCTAATTCGAAGACAACACATTAGCTTCCCTTTCCCTGGATACCGCTGGGCTCCAATGAAGATATGAAAATGAGAATCCATTAATCCCTGTATTTTGTCCCTTCAGAAAATCAGGGTAACAGATTCAGTCACTGAATCTTGCGGCACCCTTGGTTAGCAAAGCACGTGGCCATCAGAACAGAGTCTGCTTGACTGATGCTCCCTATCAGCCAAGCAATGGCGTTTGGGACATGTCCTGCCCTGCCAAGCCGCTGTGGCAGAGAGTCTGCTCCATCCAGTCCTGGCTTACAGGGGCAACTTCTTCTCATGACATCAAGCACCCCAACGCAGCCCACCAAGGCCTTGAGCAGCGAGGGGTACTGTTTCCATAAAGGTTTCCGTTGATGCCTGGAACCACACAATGCTCTTGGCTGTTTTTACAGCAATGGGCAAATCCAGGCCCTCTTCCGATCAAGCTGCAAAGTAGGGGGGAGGCCGGGTGCTTGGACCGGGGCAGGAGGCAGTTGCAAATTTCAGTGGTCATGCCAAGACAGAGGTAAGGACTGTTAAAGTCAGTAAATCTTACTGGCTCCCCCATCCCCTGTAATGCTATGTGGGAAAGATCTCGGGAGACAGGGCCAAGAGATGCTGCAAAGGGAATGGTCAGATAAGAGAGGGCACAGCCCGCAGCTGGACAGTGGGTAGGGCAGGAGGCTCAGGAGGGACCCTCCCTAGTTTCTCGGGGTGTAAAGAATTGTACTTTCAGACTTGCAAGATTGAAGTGAGACTTACCAGGTAGACCATTCAGGAATCACAACCAGATAAACTAATTCTACTTTATTGTAAAGCTACATTAAGAGAATCTTGCAAGTCTGAAGGTACAATTCTCCCACCATCTCCTTTACAGCCCAAGAAGTTAGGGAGGGTCCCTTCTGAGCCTCTTTCTCCGCCCATTATGCAGCTGTGGGCTATGCCCCCTCTTATCCGACCATTCCCTAGGCAGCATCTCTTTGCCCCATCTTTCAAGGTCTTTCTCACACACTATTACACCCCCAGACAAACTGCCACAAAGGGGTGCATCACTGCAACTTTGACACAAGCTTATTAAGTGGCACAGCAAGCTGGCACAACCTGGTGATTCCAGACACAGCCAAAGCAACAGCAGCATCAGGGACTCCCATACCTGATCTTTTGCCTTCTTCCGATAATCTTTTCCCATTTTCTTTTGAAGACCTTTCTGGATGGCCTGGGCATTCTCAGGATCCCTCTCTTTGCTACATGTTGATGGAGGAAGAGGCGGTTAGAGCAGCAACTCTGGCTTTGTTGATTATAAAGCACACATAGAAAAGGAAGTATGCTCTAGGCCAGTGTTTCTCAACCTTGGCAACTTTAAGATGTGTGGACTTCAACTCCCAGAATTCCCCATGCAGGCTGGGGAATTCTGGGAGCTGAAGTCCACGTATCTTGAAGTTGCCAAGGTTGAGAAACACTGCTCTGGGGCTACCCAAATGTAATCTCCCTCACTGGCTGTTAATCTACAGAACAACAAAACAGCGGGATTTCCTTCTGCAAAGATCTGAATTCCTTTAGAAGTTATCTATGGGGATCAAATGACAGCTGTGGGTCACAGGGAACTCCCACTGCTGTTTGTGAACCAGCCTCAGCTCTTTCTCTCCCCCATCCCCAAGAAGGTAGGACTGCCTTTCTCCAAGGGTTGGGCACTGCCCTTTCTTGTCCTCCAGGAGCCTCAAGATGCAGGTCTTCAACAGGAGACTGGCAAAGCCTCTCATGTGACCTTGGGGGTGAACCAAGTTTGCCCTCACTGAAAGCTTCACATGGCAAGGTGGGCTCCTCTCTGTCCCCTGGCAGAAGGTTAAAGAATAAGGGGACAAAAGTGGGAAGGGTTCAAAAGCCATGGAGATCTAGGACAAGCCATGGGTTGCTCACTTGGGTCTACGCTTTAAACCTTTAACAGAACCAGGCCTGTGATGTGTTCATTTCACCCTGCCACAAATCACGGTCCCTGCTCCAACACACACACACACACACAGACCCTGGAACCAGCCTTCTGAACAAAAGAGGTCAGAGAAGCCCTACGTTTCTTTCTGTCGTCTGGAGACCTGAAGCTTCTGTGCTTCCACCTCCTGGTCTTGAAGTCTCTTGGCGATTCGGAGGTCGTTCTGGACCAGCTGGTTCTTCTGGATGTTAGAAGCGTAATGCAGTTCAACTGGGAGAAGGAAGGGAAAGAAGGAAGCCTCAGTGCAGGCAGCGACAAAAGGCTCCGCAACCTTCCTTCACCTCTGCACTGACTTTCTGGAGAGCAAGTTCCCCGCCAAATGGTCTGCAAGGTCCTCCTCAGAGGCGGGTGGAACGATACGCCCCAGAGGCCAAGGAAGAGCAGGGTCACTGTTCTCCAGGCCCCTGGACCAACAAGGCTAGCTCGGAGGGACAAACTCTGAGGAAGCAAAGATCTTCACCCCTTCCGGAGTTTGACCATCCTTTCCCTGTGCAGGAGGCCCATGCGCTCATTTGCTGCCCTTTTCATGGGTTCAGCCCACGGTCTGAGAGAAAAGGCATGGAGTAACTGAATGAATGGAGCAAGTGCAGGGGATCCCGCACTTCTGGCTTCCTTGCAGGATCCCCAGATCAAAGGTGAGGCCAGCGAGAGGAGTTTCAAGAGAGCAGCGCTTTTCCTGATGCAGCCCAAAGCATGGAGATCTTTCATGAACCCAGGAAAAGCCGTCTGAAGAGGAGCCATCCTTAAAAATAGAGGGCAACTTCTATCTGCTGGGCATCTTTGTTGGGAAAAAACCTGCCAGTCTTTTGGGCATCCATTTGTGTCCTCGGGGGCTGGGATGGAGGAAGCAGCTGCCCTTTCTCCCGGCTCCATCCCTAGTTCAGCCCCAGAGGTTGAAGGCTGAACCTCCACTTAGACGCATTCCTGCTCACCCTGGTCTTCAAAGTCATTAATCCCCGGCCAGACAGACGGGGTGGGGGAGGCTCAGAGCTTGGATAGGTTTTGATGCTATAATGAGAAGGCCTTGACGTCACAGAATGATTCATGAGCATGAACTGTGACAGGCAAAGCATTACTGGACGGGCGCCGTAATTGCTCTGGGCTACAAAAAGGACAGTTCCTGCAAACAGATGCCAAGAGAAGGCAACCTTGAGAGCGGTCCTTAAAATGCCATCTCATCTGGAGACAGCTGACCCTTGTAAAAGTCTGCATGTTTGATTCCATGAAGTCCTAGACTCCATCTAGTTAATTAAAAACGGGGACAATGTGCCAGAGACTCCCCGCCCCAAAAATCATGCCCATTGCCAAGGTATGCAGCCTTGGTTGATTCACAGGTGGCTCCAGAAACCTTAGAGGCATATGATGCTAAACACTGGAGGGACACACTCACGACTTCAGAGAACTGCCCGACCACCCCCAATTCCCCCTCTTACTCTCTTGTTCTTGCAGACAATAGGCCAACGCGCTGTCTTCCAGGACAGCAAAGTCTCGGCAAACTGCAGGAGCGAAAAACAAACACAGAAAAATTGCAAGGGGGTTTATTT